TGTGAGATCTGGTACCAACAAGGCAGCAAGGACATCATCACAGTCCATCTTTGTGACGTAAACACTAATTAAACTGTGTAAATCCTGCATAGAATTATTTACACCAAATTATACAGAAACCTTTCCATGTGCATAAAATTTACAGTACTAAATACCTGTTGATGGCTGGATGCAGACTGTGAACCAGACATGCCAACTGCCCCCCTGTCCATAAGGATGCTGTTTAGCAGCAGAGCTTCCCGCAGTAGTGACCAGAAATGGCTAGTTCTGACAAACATAATACGTACCGCAGAACTGGACAGCAGAGGACATCAATGATTCTGGCGTGCAAGTGCAGCTGCAGTAGTTTTATACAGAATATAGAGAAATATGAATTTCTTGTGTACTCGTCATGAATAATCTTGTTAAGTATTTGTGGTAATTTGTCATGGTTGTGCTTACCTGTCTAGTCTGTGTGCATTTTTAAATTGCACATGGGAGAATAAATATCGCACGAGCAATTTAACAGCTCTTCTCCAACTCTCTTCAAAAGACACAAGTCCTTGTTTATTAGATAGAGATCATTGATCAACCAATCATCACATTTCATGGAATAAATGCAATGAAGTCAAAGAAATCATACTCTTATAATAATTGATTATAATTAGCACCAGTCTTACCAAATTGGAAACAGCAAGGTCTTCAGGATATACTTGCTTACATCAACATGGCAACATATAAGTACTGTACATAGCCATACTTCAACATAGATTTGACTAAAACTACAAAGAACTGATAGATTTGACTAACAGTACAAGGAACCGACTGAACCTTTCAATTGTCCACTAGATTCAGGATAAGCAGAAATTCCCAACAAGGATGTCAGTCCTGATATTTTGTCAAGAAACAAACCAATTATCAGTAACCACTTAAAGTACTCATCAAAATAATAAATTCGACAGGAAGGTACAAATTAACACACGGTAATTGAATGAACTATATCGTGTAATATCCTGAATACTCAACAGTTTCAGAAGTCAAAAGTTCACAACACACACAAATTTAAACTTAAGTCAGAACCAGTTATAGCTTAAAGAAGTAAGCTAATATGAAAATGACTAAAAAATTGTCAGGAAATTAGGTCAACAGTAAAGCAATTAGATGAGCTCACCCCAATCTCAGTAATATCATGTTATACAAACCACAGAAGCAGCAGAATTAACGGAGCTTCCAGTTTCTTGTTATAGAATATGTGGCGACTATGCACAACAACAAAGAAAAGCTTCTCGGTAAATAATAGCATTAATCTGCGTGTCAAACATCTGACTGGGCACACACAAACTTTAGCATGGCGAGTGGGTGGTTGCAGGCATTAGGCAATAAGCATCAGCATGTTTTCTGCTTTCGTCTCATATACTGTCATGCCCTAGACAGCACAACTGTTAATTACACATCAGTCCATGGTCTGGAGGGAGACGCGCAAAGGGTTGCACTGAGAACAGAGATAAGAGATTGGAGATACTTGTTGCCCGTTCTTCATTGACAAAAGCATCCTCATATACAGAGGGGTTTCCTGACAGATTTATCTAGAGTTCAAATCCAAACTTACTCTAAACTAACACAATCTCATTTACCTTAAACCAACACAATCTCGTATCTCCTAACATAATGGGCAGGGCATAGCCAGGACGCCAGCCCTTAGCCTCACTGCCCCTAGCCTGTCCGCCGGCTGTGGTGGTCTTCTCCCCATGTTGGTGTATCAGGGAAGTCCTCACATGACTAGAAAATAGAGACTTGAAACACGTTGGTAACAACACAGAGGACAAGAGACTAAATTAAAATTCAACATAGTTTTGATTCCTGCCCTCCAAGCATCCACCACTCCAATTTAGGAGTCTCGCAACCTACAATCTGCCCCCTCCATTATAATATGCTATAATGAGTTGGAATGTTAAAACATTATACCATTCGCTGTATGTGCAACTGCTCTTGCTTGTGTTGTATGGTCAGGATGATTTCCTACAAAAGAAATTGCTTGACTACTTGAAGCAACATCATGGTTTCCATTCTCAGGATAGCCTGTCTGCAGAATTTCATCCAGATGCTTCAGAAGAACGCTTGATTGACTCTCAATGTATGACATTGCCTCCTCAGATTTGGCGGCCCTTGAAGCTATTAGGCTAACCATACGGCACATGTTAGAGAAGCGAACATCCAAAGATGACCGCATGATACTGCTAGATCCACAGTTAGGTTCTTCTCCCATTCTAACAGAGCGGGCATCTTTCCTCCATCTCTTCAAAATGTATTGTTCTGGGAGCTCCTTGATATTCTTGAGATCAAGTACCTTTAGTACATGACAACACTGGATTCCAACAGATTCAAACTTCCTGCAGCTGCAAGTGGCCAAGCCATCTAGGGCATCAAATTTCACAATGCCCTCTGATGGCTTCTCATCAAGTGTTATTTTGTACTCTGACACTGTCCCAACCGCACTGCAGGGGAAGGACATGCAGTTCATGTAAGCCTCAAACTCACCCTGGAACATCTTGAAAGCTTCAGGTGTATATGCATTTGAAGATTGTTTTAACATCCGCAAGGACGGGATTGGCAAAGTCACCTGATTTCCATCAACATCAGCCTGCAATTTCTTTGAGCGATGCTCTTCCAGCATGGTCTCATAACGCTTGAAGAACAGCAGGATATCTTCTTGCTCACTGAGCTCCCGTTTTAGCTCATTAATCATACTATCCTTTCTAAGAGTACTGAGAATATCAGCAGAAAACACAGTTCTCCTATAAGGCAGAGCCCATTTTTCTTTCTCTAGAAATAGTCTGCTGAGCCATTCACTCTCACCAATGTCATGTTTCTCAATTAGCTTTTCCCATGCAGACAAGAACTCCATCTCATCCTCACAGTCAAAGAGACACTGGCTCAAAGCATTGCCAAAACTTTTCGAGCTTTCGAACACCTGCTTCAAGTGCCTCTTTGAACTGTGGTATATATGCCACACGCTTGTGCAATGGTTACTCCCAGGCCAGACCTCTGCTGCTGCAATGGCACATTCAGAACGCTCATCAATCAGAATAGTCTTTGGCTGCCTATCACGCATGGCATCAGCAAATGCCTGAAATACCCATTTCAGTGACTGGATGCCATCATCATAAAGCAAGGCTGCACCAAACACGAGTAACTGCTTGTGGTTGTCCACACCAACAAACAATGCAAATGGTCGCCCATACACATTCAGCCCATATGTTGTATCAAAGCAAACGACATCACCAAAGCTTCTGAAGTCAATGATTGACTTTGCATCAGCCCAGAAGAAATTTACAGCTGAATTCCCATCAGGTGCCATTCCTACTGCATAATACAGTGAAGGGTTTCCCACCTGCAACCCTTCCAAGTATTCCAATGCAGCACCAGCATCCCCAAGCTGCACACCCTTTCCCTGCTTCCTTCGATGCAGTTCCCCTGCACCAAGCTCGTGCCCTCGAGCCCTCATCTTATGGGACCGCAGCTTGTGCACGGTCTCTGAGTTAGCGAGTGGGTGATTATGCTCCGCAATAAATTTAGCAACCCGGTATGTTCGGCATGGGGTGATCTTGATCACCATTCTTGCCTGGCAACCTGTTCGTGTTGGTGGTGGGCCTGGCCTAGGTGTACCTGGTGCCCCTCCACCAGCATTGGTGCTGATACTGGCTAGACCATCGTGCTTGGCACGGTCACTGACGCCCTCACGTGAACAAACAAAGATACGAGACACAATCACCCCATGCTTGCGCTTCTTGTATGAGCGGCGGACGCTGAAACCCACATGCTCGGCGTACCGGTTGTAGAAGGCATAGGCGTCATCTTCCGTCTCAAAGTGCATCTCTGGGAGTGGCCCGTCCCTTGGGTCCGGCAAGCTTGCAGCAGCGGCAATGGTGTGATGCGAAGAACTTGACGGAATCATTGCCAGTGACACCGCGGACACTGCAGAGGCGAGCGGGTGGTTGTGCTCGGCGACAAATTCAGTGACACGGAAGGCATTGGCCGAAGGGAGTAGCTTGATGGTGAGGGACGCCAGGCAGCCGGTGCGTGAGTCCGGGCACCTAGGAGGCGGTGGCGGTGCAGCAACGGTGACGTCGGTGGCGTTGGTCTCATCTTGAGGCTTCTTGGGTTCTTGGCGGAAACCTTGCTTGGAGCAGACGAAGAGACGGCGGGTGACGGTGTGCCGGGAGTTCTTGGACTTGTTGGACTTGCGGACGACGAAGCCAAGGCGGGCGGCGTATACCTTGTAGAATTCGTAGGCGTCGTCCTCCGTCTCGAAGTACATGCCCATTTGGGGCGAGGAGGGGACGGCGGCGTCATCCCCGGCAGCAGAGGGGGTGGAAGTCGAGGTGGCTGGCCCGAGAAGCGCGGGCTCATCGGAGCCAGCGACGAAAGCAGAGGAGGAGGGGGAGGATGAGCCGGAGGTAGTCGGCGAGGAGTCCCCTGAGAGGGAGGCAGGAGGGTGTGCGGTGGTGGACATTAGGGTTTGCGCTAGGGTTTGGAGGAATGAAGGGGGGAGCAGCGGGAGGAGGAAGAAGAGGTTGGATGGATTGGCTGTGGAGGCGGCGGCTGTGGGTAGATGTGTGTGGTGGAGGGATTGATTAGCGCCATCGCATGAGCATTGGTCTTGGTCATGGATGAATGTGCTTAGGAATTGTAAGTGTCTTGCCATTCTGCTCCAAACCATCAGTACCAAAATCTTGATCAACAGTGTCCCAGGCAAGAGAATATCTCATCTCATCTCTCTTATTTATCGTTGCCATGAATACACTAACGGCTATCATTGCCATAGCCATGGATGAAGGCGTACTCGACTCCTTTTTAGGTATCTCAGTGTGGCAGCGATTGTCAATTTATGCAGATGATGTGTCCTTCTTTGCTCGTCCGACAAGACCGGATCTTTCTATTTGCCAGAGAGGTGCTTGAGGTCTTTGAGAGGCGTCTAGGTTGAGGGTCAATTACGAGAAATCTATGGCCACCTTAATTCATGATGATCAAGAGGATCGAGATCGGATGGTCAGTCTTTGGCAATGTCCCTTGAAGGAGTTCTCATGCATATATCTTGGGTTACAATTGGCCATCAAAAACCTAACCAAATCTGAATGGCAGTCATTGCTGGACATGGTTCATATGTTCATTCCAGCTTGACAGATGGGGTTTTTTTCAACGTTCCAGTAGACTCCTCTTGGTTAAGTCGGTTATTGCGGCGAGGCCGGTTCATCAGTTACTGCTTTTGGATGCCTCTGAGTGGGTTTTTGAGGATATTAATGGTTGGATCCGATCATTCTTTTGGGTTGATAAAGAGAAGAGCAATGGAGGCCAATGTCTAGTCGCTTGAATACCATATGCTGACCCACATGCTATGGTGGACTAGGGGTTAAGAACCTCAAACTGTTGGCACTAGCTCTAAGAGTCAGATGAGAATGGCTGAGAAGAACGGATTCCGAGAGGCCATGGCAAGGCCTTGCGATGATGGTTTACAGTGAGGCCAGAGGTGTTTTTGATAGTTTGGTCAGTATCTCAGTTGGTCAAGGAAACAAAGTCCTTTTTTGGCGTGTGTTCTCCGTATTGGACATCGCACCACTGGTGTAAGGGCATATTTCACCCTACGTGGTTTTGGTGATTGATGACAATGCGTTTGCGGACTAATCGTGTGCATTGAGCATTTCAGATATCTCATGTTTAGGCACAAGACGATTCGATGCCCCTCGGAGCCTAGTGAAGACGACGTTTCTGTTCGGTGGACTTGAGTCGTAGGAAAGCCGTACTATTAAGAGGGGGTCCGTTTCAGAAAGGTTAGGGTGGAATCAACACGTACACGTCTGTCCCTTTGCACCACCTTTCCTTTGCTTCTTTGGAGCACCGGTCGTTTATCCGTGTCTTTGCAAAATGAAGGATTCCAAGTGGTAGTGTGCTGTGGCATGCGGTAGTACTGCTCAAGGGAGCAGTAGTACCGCAGAGGCCCACGGTAGTACCGGTCACGGACGCGGTAGTACCGTGCAGTGCGGTAGTACCGCTCCTCGGACACGGTAGTACCGTGGCTTCTAGCCCAGCACAGCTACTCGCGCGGAAGTAGGGGCGGATTTAATTTTTTACATCCACGCCCTATGCGGTAGTACCGCTCCCTGGATGCGGTAGTACCGTGTCGGATTTTTGCACAGATTGAAACTCAGCGGAAGTAGCCACGAATGTAATTTTATTCGTCTGTGCCTTCCCAGCCTAGTCGAACCCTGCCTTGCGGTAGTACCGCAAGGGCACGCGGTAGTACCGCTCGTTGCGTCAACGCAACAGGGTATCGTCCGGTCTCTGTCGTGGGTGCGGTAGTACCGCACCGCCTAGCGGTAGTACCGCAAGTTTGGTGACGTAGTACTGCATGTCGCGGGCTGAATAAGTGGGTAACGGTTGGATTTGTCCTCTCACTATATAAGGGGGAGGTCTTCTTGTCCGAGTTGACCACCTCTTCCATCCCCAAGCTCCATTGTTGCTCTAAGCTCCATTTTCACCCGATCTCTCTCCCTGGCCAATCAAACTTGTTGATTCTCTAGGAATTGGTTGAGAAGGCCTCGATCTACCTTCCACCAAGGGAAATTGATTTCCCCACTAACCCCTTGCGGATCTTGTTACTCTTGCGTGTTTGATGTGGAGCATCCCACGGTCATCCCCATGGACGTACCTACATCTCCCACGACACCACTTGGAGCAATGACAAGAGCGCGAGCAAAGGCTATCGAAGATAAGGTGAACTCGCTCCTCTCCGAACTTCCACTTTCTACTTATGAGACATGGCTACTACCTCATGCGGAGACCCTATGTGTGATCAGGTATTTGGAGGAAAGCCACGGATCAGCTACACCCAACGGACAAGACGGCAAGGACACCAAGTTCAATGGACAAGAAGAAGGACCGCTCGAAACTCCCACTCATCGGACGACCGACGTCTCTCGGATGTCCGACGCCTGGAGGCTCCAACCGACCAGCCAAGTCCCAGCCCTCACATGCTCCAGCGGCCGGACAACCGACGCCGACCGGACGTCCGACACCTCCCAGCGTCCGGACGACCAAGCCCCACCGGACGACCGGCACCACCACACCCGAGCCAAAACATCGAAAAAATGGAGACCTTTGGACGACCGACCGACCGGACGATCGACCCCGACCGGAAGACCGACAAGCCCTGACCAGAGCCGAAACATCGGACGCCTGACCGGCACTAGACGTTCGGACTCCCGCGAGCCTTCGGATGACCGGTGACTGATGGACGTCTGATGCCTGTTTGACCGCCCACGTGTTGGCCGAAACCCACTTACCCTTTCGTCCACTAAGACTATAAATAGACCTCCTCCTCCCTCTTTCTAGGGTTAGCAATGTGATATAGCTCATATTTGAGATAGACCTTTGCTCATCCGCTTGGTTACTTCTCCTCGGAGCTCACGACCTCTTCGGAGAAGATCCCCCAAGCCGATTCAAGACCACATAATGGGAAGAGCTTCAAGACCTCCTCTCGGAGAAGAACTAGTTGCCACTTGTATTGTCCCTTGTTGATCGTGGATCGTGTATCTCTTTGTGTTTCGAGGATCTAGCATATGTGTGACCATATCTTGTTGGTTGAGTGATTTCTCTCGTGTTTCCCCTCGTGTTCTTCGTGTTCTTCGTAGGATCCCCTCCAATCGTGAAAGATCGGGCATCTAGGGTTCTACCCTACATCATCTTGGTATCATGAGCCACGTTGATCACATATTTGGATCCCCTACCCCTCTTTTTCTAGCTTGATTTTGTTGTGTTCTTCCCCAATTTCGAAAATCCCCACCAAAAATAGCCCCAATTTTTTTTGATTTGTTGGCGTGATGAAGTTTTGTTGTATTTGATCCATGAATTTGCTTTGCCACGAGTGGATCTAGCTTTCCCCCATCATCTCCACCTTTTCCATCCACAAAATCGCCTGAATTTGACCATTTTCGCCATCTCCACCTCGAAAACCTGAGCTCATCCCGTGCCTGAAATCGCCCAGGCACCGGACGTCCGACGACTTATGGTCGTCCGACCACCATCTAACGCCCGACGATCTCTGACAAAACTGAATTTTTTTCACCCGAAAATTTTCAGCCACCGCCACCACTTCTGCATACGCACTTCTACTCCCTTTCCACCTCCACTTACGCACTTCGATACCACCACCGCTTTCCGCAAGCATCACCATCACCTTAACCGCTACCACCTCTGACAATTTTAACCTGTTTTGGTCTTTGGGAATTTGAGGTGTGGTTCCCGTGTCCTATTGTGTTTCGGCTATATAGTTACGGTTCGACATCAACATCACCATCACTCATCTTCGCCAACGACTCCTCATCGCCAGCAATCATCTGTGCTTACAAACGACTACCTCGGCGGTAACCTCGACGACATCTTTGTCTATTCCTTGCCATTGCATTGATAACCACCATAACCTTACTTTTGCGTTGCTTTCCCATCGGGACTAGCCTTTGAGTATTGCCGGCAACATGACTTGTGCACATTACCGATCATACTTACCATAGCATACATACCATATCATCGTGGTGCATATCTTGGTATCATTTTTTGTGTCACAAAGTTGTCATCGCATATACACAATTGCTATCTTGGTTCGTGAAGTTTTGCATGAGAAAAGAGCTCAAAAGAGAAAGAGCCAAACAAGCTTTTAAGCAAAAGGGAAAGATAAGCAAAGAGCTTATAAGCAAGAACCATAGCATCATACTACATTAAGATTTTCATACTCGGTCATCTTGGATCATATCACCGGAATACCATACATATAGCATACTTGGGATAGAAGTCGTTGCATTTTTGCCTAGTAGGTTATGCACAAGTTTCGTATCTGCCTATTATGCAATCGTGCTAGCATCTCTCTAGTGCTGTGCAACAAGAGCTTTTTCGTGGATTCCACATTTTGGCTCATTCCTTGGTTGCACGACCCCACTTGTCTATTTGCGTGTGTGTTTCCGTGTACCATATCTTGATATTGGCCTACTTGTTGCATTTGCAAATTTGTGAATCTTTTTCAACATTATTGAGGCTCACTAACAATTGCATCAAATTTTGTGCCACCATCTTAACTGAGCTCCACCATAAGCTTTCACTTGTGTAGGTGTGAGAACCGACAAGAATTGGTACCAATTGTGCTATTTCCTTGTTCCACATTTGAGTGATCATTGATCCATCTTCAACATCGGTCAAGGTACATTAGGTATAAGTTCTTCTCTTTCTCCCACTCACGTATTTGCTTGGAATGATGGATAGGCCAAGTTCTTCTACCAACCCACTCTTCATCAAGCAAGATGACAACATTTCATCCTATGTCACCAAGAGCCACCTCTTCGGTGCACAACGAGCTTTACATCAAGAACAATAAGCAATGAGCGACCGCATCGACAATCTCGCCACCGACTTGCGACTCTCCGAGCAATGAACAAGAGACTACTTCGACAACAAGCTCGACGCACACAAACAAGAGAACGATGCAAGAATGGACGAGATTCGTGCCTTGTTGGTAAACCAGCCTTCTACCACTTCATCCTACTCAAGACGGAGCCGCTCGAGTCGACACTCTGACGACACCCTCTCCGGGTCAAGTACACCAACATCAAACACGCTACGTGGAGCCGCGCGCCAAGACCGTCAAGCAACTCGCAATACTCTACACGGTAGTCA